CACCTCCCGTAGATACGCCACTGCCAATTAGAGTTTTTCCTGATAGCCTTTTATAATTTGCAATATACAGTATATTAAAAAGCAACATACTGAAATGCGATGGTATTTACAAAAATATGTATATAAGAAAAAAAACAAGCAAATCAGAATTTCACAAAAAAAGACAAAATATCAAAATTACATTATACATTCAATAAAAAAAATCATCAATAAATAATTACATTAAAATGATTTCATCAATATTATTTACAGAATATCAAAATTACATTAAACATTCAATAAAAAACATCAAAATATTATTAGTAAAAAATTATTTCATCAATATTAACATGGGAAACCATTAACATGGGAAAAATTTAGATTAAGAAAAATTCATTATTTAAAATTCATTATTTACATAAAAAAAAAAAAACCATGCAGCAATGATCAGAGACTTTACTCGATAATTAATTACATATAAAATTACTTTACATTAATCAATCTAATAAAATATGGAATAGGGCTATTTTTAAGGAATGTATCATTTATTTAAGTACAAAACATGTAAAATGTACATGAATACAGTATACAAAATATGGTCTGTATAAACTAGAACTATTTTTGAATAGTGTACCTAGTTCTCTTTCATGGACATTTGCAGCGCATGTTTAATGTCCCATCCAAAGGACAAGGTACTAAGAATGAATTGTCTTAACCAAGAACCCAAGGACAATGCCATTGGCAGGAATATGATCTGGGTCCCTCTCAAGATATTATAGTACTGATAGTGGTCCTATGCTGTCTTAACATTTACGATGCATATTTTTTTCTCAGCTGCTCAACAACGTCATTTCTCCCCATCCCATTTAGTATCTCACACATCACATTAAGTTGATTGATGTCACTTGACTGACGAATCCTCCATGTCGTCAGCATGTCCATTGATGCTTTGAATTCGCGGCCACAACATTCCTTTCTAAAAGCTTCTATTGAATGCCATCCTATGCCAAGTTTAACTGCAACTTTATCCCAATCTGCACAAATGTTTTCACTGATAAGCGCAAAGGCAGTATCATCTAGAAAACCTGATGAAGAAATACAAAAACATTTACACATTAATAGTAAAATACATTCTTCCTTGGACTTCAAAGAGCTTTTTTTAATAATAAACAAATTGATGAAAGTGGTTTTGTGGCTATGTTAATGGTATTGTTCCTCTTTAGCATTCCAAGATGACCACAAAACAGGCCATTTCCTGGGGATGGCAGTACTGGCTCTGCGATCAATGGTGGCATTTTCCCCCTTGCAGAAGCTAAGACCCCTGTCATCCAATGCCATGACGAGGTCGTCACACCAAAGTATTAATAACTCCTCAAAGCCTCATTAACAAACTTTTGAATTCCCCAATGATCCACACCACAAGCCAAATGGAAATTTGACTATAGAGTATCAGCAATCCCGACTGATCAGCCATCCACTCCTTAAACCTCCAAAAGAGACTAAGAGAGACATATTTTCATACCTTCTGAATGCACAACACGTCTCAACTGATCGGCTACTGCAAGGAAACCCTGCACTTCTAGTAGTCCACACATTACATTGACTTGATTGATCTCAGAGGACTGACGTTTCTTCCATTTAGTCAACATGTCCATACATGCATTAAGGTCAGAATTATGATGTTCTGCTCTAAGCAGTTGAGTTTCCTGCCAATTAAATCCAAGGCAAACTGCAAATCGTGCCCAGTTTGTACCAAGGCCTTCACGAACAGACAGCAAGTCATTGTCATGTAAGACAGCTGTAGGTGGTAAAGAATGAAAAATATAACTTAATTCACTTTGTACAATTTAAATACTTGCATACGATTATGGTATTCATGTAATCAATTGAGTTTTTTTTAAATTTAAAAACATCTTTATACAGGATAACAATCAGTGATTTATTGTTTTATAATATGGTCCTGTTTTACACATTTAAACTACAGTTAAACACAGAAAGTTAAAATATTAAAACTACAGTTAAAAACAGAAAGAAAACAAATAATAAAAATAATTATTAGAACGAGGGAGTGTATACCTCACCCCACATCATAATTCCCCTTGTTAAAACGCATCATTTCCTTTTGAAAAAAAAAGTAATGAAAACAGAATCTCTACCTCTGCCAGCCATTGAGAGTTTTTAATAATTGTTCCTTGAACTATGACAAACCATTCTAGAAAGTTTCATTCAGATCCATTAATCAGTTTTAAGATATTTAGGTCTGGGACGTTCCATTTTAAGAGTCTCCACATGCACACCCTACTCCGGAGCATCACCAAAATTGCATATTTTTTCATAGCCATGATGAACCATTCCAAAAAGTTTTTCAGATCCATTGCATATCTGGGAAGTCCCTTTTAACTAGCCCTCTTATCCACATCCTACTCCGTGTCATCACCAAAATTTAATCATTTCTTTCTTAGACCATGACAAATTCTAAAAAGTTTCACTCAGGTCCATCAATGAGATACAATGATTTGTATTATGTTTTTAATAAATAAAGAATAAATATAATGAATTTTTGAGATATTTAGGTCTGGCACGCCCTAATCTGGGTCGTCAACAAAATTTAATCATTTCTTCCATGTAAAACGTTCCAGCAAGTGTCATGCAGATCAGTTGAACAGTTTTGAGATATTTGATCTGGGATGTTTCTCTTTAAATGGTCCTCAAATCCACCCCCTTATTCAAAATCGTCACGAAAATTTAATAATACAGTATTTCCTCGGGAAAATGACTAACCATTCTAAAAAATTCAGATGCATTGATTAGCTTTTAAGATATTTATGCCTGGGACGTTAGCATTTTAAATGCCCCCAAATTCATACCTGAAATCTGGAACATCGCCAAAATTTTAAAATGTCTTCCTTGTAACCTGGTTAACACTTCCAGAAAGTTTCATACAGATCACTAAATCAGTTTTTGAAATATCTAGAGTGGAGTGTTTTTCTCCTCACCCCCCTACAGATCATAACCAGAATAGAAAGGAGCCTCCTTTCAATATCAGAAATCATCTGTGAAAATTTTCAGCATGAAAAACTGTAGGTAGGAGATTGCTAACAAATACAAACACACACACACAATTGTACTAAAATATTACCTCATTGCAGAGGTAATAATTATTTTCAACATGGTTTAAAAATAGTATTAAAAGATATAATTTGTATGGGAGATGTTTGAATGTTGGATGAGATATACTTTGCCATGAAATGAATGAGTTTGCAAATGGATATAAAATGGATGATGTATTCATTTGATCAGGGAAATTATGCAAACAGTTGTATTTACCACAATATTGAATTTTCTTAACAGTCAATCATACCTGAGTGACTTTTGCCCATCAATTCACCAGCAATACGAACATATCCTGCTTGCTTCAGTGCATCACACATAACTTGCATCTGGTTGATATCTGGTGGTTGGCGATCCCTCCATTTCACAAGCATCGCCATCATAGCATCCTTCACTTGATTGTTGTCACTTTCAATGTAGTCAAGTTCTGGCCTAGTTAATTTAAGGTGCAATGCTAGCTCTTTCCAGTCCTTGTCCAGTGAATTACAAATACTCAGTAGCTCTACATCTTCCAAAGGACCTGAAAGATGTCATAAGAATATAATAACATAATATATGCAGTTATAGTCAAGTTCTGAAGACACTTTTCTATATAAAATATAAGTCAAAAGAGATACTATTTTTGGAAGACATTTTTGAAGGAAATAATGGTTCTTTTGGATTATACTGTTTGACAAATAATTGCTTTATAAGTCAGTTACCCTGTTTTATAAGTATACAGTTCACCTTCCAATTCGAGACCACCTTTGGGACCTGAAAATTTGGGGTGGTGTCAGGGTTGGTTGGCTTTATGTTAAAAGGTTGAAGATAGTTATTTCGGTCTTTGGAAAAATGGTCTCAGAATTAGAGGGGTCTCAAATTGGAAGATGCACTGTAACATCAAACTGCTGGTTGTAGATTTTTTTTTTTTTAAAGAGAGACTTCTGGATGTCTTGAGATGGTACTCTCAGACTTGTACAATACCTTTAAATATAAAGTTGATAAAATACAATTATTACTCTACTGTACTCTCAAACTCAACTCGAAAACATGCAATTAATTTCATTAGGCCTTTTTTTTTTGGTTTGACTGCCCAATGGGCTCTGGCCGGTGGGGTGCTTTACCATACAATTGGGGGGGGGGGGAAATGGGGCTTAAAGGCCTGTTTATACTTCAACGATAACGATAAAAAAGCTAAAAAGCGATTGTTCATATAGAAAATAAAAGAAATAAGAGAAGTTTTTACACTAGGACAATTCAATAACGATTTATCGTGTATACGATAACAAAATATTGTAACAAATCAAATCAGATAACATCTTAATCATGGAAAAACGATTAAATCGTTGCTACCACTACGATTTTAATGTTTTTCATGACTATGACATCATCAGATTTGATTTGTCAAAATATGTTGTTATCGCATAACAGATAAAGTGTTATCGAATCGTGCTAGTGTAAAAAGTTCTCTTATTTCTTATATTTTCTATATAAACAATTGCTTTTTAGCTTTTTTATAGATATCGTTATCGTTGAAGTAGCCACATTTGCCAACCAGAAAAGCATGCGGTTTGATTACAATAATAGGCTACATTAATATTGCATGTTACCAACCTGAGAGATTTGAAATGCAGGACTACACCAGTTAAGTGGGGAGGTGGGGTGACGGACGGCGCCGCCAGGGTCCTGAGGTCCAGAGGCGGAACTCCGTTGGGGCCCGGGTTCCAATCACATAATCAATGGTTGATTGTGACAATGAACGTGCAAGGCCGCACGCGACTACTAGATTCCACTAAAGTGCATGGTTGATTGGGTTGTTTTGGTCGGGAAAAAGGATTTTTCTCCGAGAATTGATTCTCGAACAATTAAAAAGCTTTCCAATGACTCAAGCTACTGCATGACCGTTTTTATATTTTTATTAAAACCAAGCATTTTCTTCTAATTTTAAATACATTTTTCCCTGAATTCATGATAATTCGTTATCACGCATGGACTTATGCTAAATGGGTGACAAATTTATGATCACGCATGTGTTTCTGCAAAATGCGTGTTTCATCCAAAATCACTTCGAAATGCAGGACCGTCCTGCATGATGGGAGACGGTTGGTAACTATGAATATTGTGCTCATGCACAGTCAATAAAGTTCTTTGAGGACCAGGGTTGTGTTTATGTTATGAAGAATTAAAATTAAATCCTGTTTACATTGCAGTTTGTGTTCTAACTAAATGATACACATATACAATAACAGCTATTATTTATTAATACTCAGGCACTTACGTTGATCAGGTTGTGAACGTGTTACAGTAGCTTCATTTGAGTCTGAAAGAAATAAATAAAACAATCTTTCTTTTTTCCTTACTGGTACTGGAGTTTTTTTTCAAAAATTCACACTTACTCAGACCCATAAATAAAATTGATTTGCACATAACTGGGTTGTGAACACGACTAAAAACAGAGATGATGGAGAATGTAGAAATCACATATATATAATGAGGAAGAAGGAGAATTTTACACAGCCGACAATACTAACAGCTGTGTGATGAAAGATTTTGATCAAAACCCAAAATTATTGCCTAATTAAACTTTGATATCATAATATAAATATTTTAATATTGCACAAAAATAACATCAACGTAGTGAATTCTACTTCCAGAGGTACCTGATGATGCCAAGTGAAGGGAGGTAGTCCCAATCATCCAACAATGGTACAAGTAGAATTCACTGAATTCATAGAAATACAGTACAACCTTGTTGTATTTGTTTGACTTTACCTCACACTTGTACCTATTAAACAGCAAACCATTCATCAACATTAGCCATTTTGATCTGTGAGGGTAAAATTACACAGTTTGCATACAGTTCACGAAGGCACCAGTGCGGTAGTCTCCCCACGTAGAGGTAAATATGGCATACACAGGGAAGAATAGAAACTACCACACCCCTTACCAGGTGGAATTCATGAAATGTTGTTTTTACTGAATTAATATTCATGAGGAATAGTAATAACACATCTATCTTAAATCATACCTCCAAATAAATGACAGTAGCGTTTGATGCTCCATGAAACTGATCCACAAGGAATTGCATCATTGTTGAAATCCTTAATGATCTGCATGTGCTGGAAGTTGTCAGAGCAACCACAAGGTATGCAAGTCTTGTATTGCATACGTTCTCTAGTCTGACAAAGTGCATCGAAGACTGATTGAAGAAATGTCAAAACCTTCAGGAGTAAAAAAATGATATAAACTGAAAATATTGTGGTAGTTAGGAACATTTGAGCAACCAATCAAGGTTTGATTGTTTTTTTTTTTAAATTTTTTATAAAAACACTGTGTATGTCAAAAATTCTTTATACTAGGACTATTTTGTACATCTTCATATTCCATTTCACAATAATACAAAATGGTCCTATAGCAAATGCAAATGGAGGAATACTGTATGCAAATGAGCAAGCTCACCAAGCCAGGTAGGCAACTAGTAGTGCTGCCTATATTTCTAATGTTTGCAAAAAAAAAAAAAAATTTCCCAAAAATGTATATTGTTAAATGAAGGTTCAATTCCACAGAAACAAAAATTAAGATGGGATGTCAATTTGTGGGTTCAAGTTTTACGTTTTCTTTTATATACTGCATACATAGATTCTTGGCATCTGACTGGTTAAAAACAAGTAATAACTTCAACCATCACTCCTATAACATCGGTTCAATGATAATTCATAAACTCCCAGGGAAAAGTGTACTACAGTATCAGGTAGTACTCTGACTGTGCTAAGGATTAGCGAGCATGGCTGAGCAAGTAAACCTAGGGCCTACTTGGTGGCTACTATTTTCATTAATTTTTTAGGCCTCTTAGAATATATGCACATTTGGAAAATGGTGAAATTTATAGCCCCTTGGTGATGTGGATACCATAGCCTAAGATAGCAGGCTACACTCAATGTTTGTATACTATATCTTAAATTATTAGTTGAAAAGGTGTGTGTATAATATTAGGAGACCATGAGTTACAGCATAGCCAATCATAGGAATTAAGAGGACAAGATGATCACATGAATGATGGGAGTACAGTATTTAGGATTCCTACTACAAACAGGTAACTGGCAAATCATGGAATCTGTATCGTACCTTCTTACATGTTTCAGGTTCTGGTTCTGTGACATCAGTTGCATCACTCAGTTGCCTTCTCAAAATTGTTGTCTAAAAATATCAAAATAAATCTTTTACTATCTGAGTATTGGGGTGAGAGTCCAAAGTCAAGGAGAAACAAGTACGCAGAGTTATGATATAGAGCACTTTTTATGGAGTTTTTAAAACTATTGTCTGTTTATGTTGACTTTAAAATAAATAATATTATATTTTTTATTTCTTTAATCTATAATGAAGGGAAAGAATATTTTCACCTTGAACATGCGGCGGTGTTTGATAGTAGCCACTGCTAGACTCACACGATGTTGAGCGTCAATGTCCAACTCAACATATTCATATGCAAGTTCAGGATTAGCATTTTCTACAAGAAACGCTTCAATAAACCTTGTCACAGCTTCCTGGAATACAAAGTCAGGTAGAAAGCCGCAGAAATCATGAAAGATTGACACCCTGTCAGGTCCCTGATCATCTATCATGACTCTTTTCTCTGGATCAGGTTGTATGTGCGAGAAAGCATAAAAAATGCTGTTATCTGTCCCAATAATCTGAACAGAAAAAGAATACTGCAATGTAAGTTGATCTGTGCTACTTATAGTTTTATATTTTTAAAAGTAAATATAATATAAACACGCAGGTCCCTTGAAATACAAATTATTTTATAAAGAATATTTCTTTTTTACAGAAAAATCATTGATTATGATAACTGAAAAAATGTTTTTACATACTGTTGGTGTCTTTCGTTGACAGATGAGTCCAAATTTCTTCATTAAAGCGATGAAAAAATTTAGCATCTTCTCATCCTTGTCATCAGAGAACACTGGGAAATTCCTCCAAAGGTGTTTCAGTAAACTCTTTCTAAGAACACCTTTCTCTAAATCCCTCCATTCATTCTGTAGAGTTGCATCCTATGCAAAGAAAAATAAACACACTATTGAGAAAAGAATGAAAGCATTTCAGATGTTGTGTTAGAAGAAGTGATGAATAAAACAATACAAGAACAGCAAAAATGGATTTGCAACTAAAGTATAAGACATAACAACCTTCTCAAGTTTTCAGCTTGAAAAATGCTACATTGGGAAACCAACCATTGGTTTCAGATCACTGGTGGAGGCACAGGTTGGGCTGGGCAGTCTAGGCCCACCCAACAATTTCAGTGGGTGGTCTAACCCTCCTGTAGGCCCCACCAATAAAATTTTGAATATTGATTTTGACAAAACAACAGGCCGATGGGTCACCAGTTGGTTGTTATTTAAATTTGTTTGCAAGGTATTATAAGAGATTAGGTAAGAAAAAAAACCGCCAAATTAGTCTACCAGAATGTAAACAAAAATCGCTAATATTTTTCAGGGCCTTCGGTCTTCTGAACCTCCGGCCTCAGTTTCTCACCCCATAGCAAAGTGCTTACCAGGCTGACTCAACATTCAAACCATGCTGCTGCCTATATTGCAAACATGCACTTCTCAATATAGTGTAAAAGAGCAGCTATGAAGAAAGATCATAAACAAGAAAGACAACAGGGATTTGTTGCCATGCAACACTTAATGTTGAAAAGACCTCAAATTTAAATCAAAGTACCCCATAATATTTTTGTATGTACTCACTCTAAGTTCTGGTTTCATAACTGTAAACACAGTTCTAACATAGTCAACCAATCTCATTGGTTGAAGCACAACTGTATCACGTAATGCTTCATCCATTGGGTGATGCATGATTTCACCAACATCACTAAAGTATGCAATTGCAAGGTCAATAGTCTTGTCATCCTTAATTCCACATTCTCTGGCTTTAGATTTAACCTTCATAAAAAATACCAAAATATAATTGAGATTACAGTATCTAATTTCCTCTGTCTAAAAAGATATCAAATACAAACTGTTGATAAAAATAATCATTTATTCTAAATTTATAATTTAAAACAACAATGCTTAAATATAATGGTATTTTAAATACAAACTGTTTTAAATAAAAATAATCATTTATTCTAAATATATAATCTAAAACAACAATGCTTAAATATAATGGTATTTTAAATACAAACTGTTTTAAATAAAAATAATCATTTATTCTAAATATATAATCTAAAACAACAATGCTTTAAATATAATGGTATTTTAAATACAAACTGTTTTAAATAAAAATAATCATTTGTTCTAAATTTATAATCTAAAACAACAATGCTTAAATATAATAGTATTTTGAATATGATCAACATTGTCATCACATTGTTATTTTTTTAAAAGCTGATAATTTTTTCTCAGTTTTCGAAGTGGCAGATGCATAAACAACTGCCCTGTGAGTGATTCAATGGCCTATGCAAAACTGGGCCTATTCTGGTAAAAAAATCAGACATTTACTCAAGCATCAAAGGGAAATGAACACCTTACTTAATCATAGTTATATAGTAGGTATAGGCGCCTAGACTTTGGTCTTTACCTTGAGCTAGGCCAGCCTTTGCCTAATCTCTTTTTCTTGATGTTGTAGGTTAGTTTTTGCCCAACAACGACCAATGCAACCAAACACACCCATCAAAAGGAAGACCGCCCACTTATGTAACAAGCTATTTTTCGCAGCGAGAGTCTCTGTGGAACATGTGAGTCTACACGCTGTGAATTAACGATCTGATCAGCTCACTGGGCGGGTCTCTTTAGGGACGGACCGCAGTGTTGTCTATTTTTAAAAACAGTTAGCGAGCTGGCTGTTTATTTTTAGCAACTTTGGGCTTTGCATTTTAAACTTTACGGCGATCTCAATGTCTGATCTAATCAATTGGAAGAGTTCGAAGTCTGCCGAATTTGGAGCTAATTCCTTTATATTTTGTCAGCATTTGTTTTTTGCAAAGAAAAAAAATAAAGTTATTCCCACATCAATATTTCCAAAACTTTTGACGCGGGCTGGAGTGATAATCTAATAATTTTTTTAAATTTACACTTATGTTCAGATACAAAAAATTAAGTACGCGTAACAAAATTTGAGTGGTGTGAACACTATGGCCAACCCCTATTCAGGGGACATCCCTATTTAAAGGGGACACCATTTTGATCTTGAATTTGTCCCCTTTATATGGGTTCTACTGTATTTTTTTATTTGCATCATTCTTTATGAAGTTTAGCTATATTTCCATTCAATTTGCTTCATTGCATGCCACCACCTATACAATGTTTTCAATTGTTGAAAGTAGATGGGCTGTTAATACTTGAAATAAAGGTAAACCTATTTTCATTCTTCATCAAATATGACAAGAATCTATTATAGGTGTATAATAAAAAAAATAATGAATGTTTTATTCATTCAATGGAAAACCATAGTTTCATTTATTGGACTGCTCCAATCAGCTCGACTCCACCTTGCTGAAATAGTTTTCGCGATTATTGCAATTACTGTACATTGTATTACTTCTTCATGTGTTTCCGCAATCTATTTTCTTCCATTTTGACGGTAACATTATTAGACACTCACCAACTATCAGAAATCTCGGGGTTGTTTTCGACCATGAAATGAATATGACTGCTCATATAACACACCTTTCTCGGTCCATAAATTAGCAGATTTGTTGTTTGTCCCGCATCCGCAAATTTCTTGATTTTGAAACCTGTCATAATGTTGTTCGTGCCCTATTACTCTCCAGGCTTGACTACTGTAATTCACTACTCTA